AGGTTTGCACTGCCTCTTATTAATTGCAGAAAGTTCTTCATTGGTAAGCGTTCTTTTCAGGACCTCTTTAATCCCACAGACTAGACTACTAGTTCTTTATATTTAATAAAATGCTTGCATGTAGGTTGTGAGTGACATGTTTGCTAGTTTTAGTGCTAGTTGTAGCTCAGTGTCTAGTATATGATTAATACTTAATACATGCTTACTAAATGAATGAAGGTTTAGGAGAAATCCTTCTGCTTCTTTTTTATTTTATTTTATTTTTGAGACAGAGCCTCAAGCTGTCCCCCTGGGTAGAGTGCCGAGGCATCACGCTCACAGCAACCTCCAACTCTTGGGCTCAAGCAAGTCTCCTGCCTCTGCCTCCCAAGTAGCTGGGACCACAGGTGCCTGCCACAATGCCTGGCTATTTTTTGGTTTAAGCCATGATTTTTTTTTTGTTTGGCGGGCTGGGCTGGATTCGAACCTGCCACCTTAGGTGTATGTGGCTGGCGCCTTAGCCACTTGAGCCACAGGTGCCAAGCCTGCTTCTTTTTTCTGTTAGAGACGTTTTATTCTCCCAATTTAGGATTGGATTTTTTTGAATGATATATATGTTATTTATAAAGTTAATACATTTCTACTCCTTCAACATATTTTAGAAATATCCTAAGAAGACTTTTGCATGTAAACTGTTTATAGATTAGAATCTCATAAGTCATATGAGAATAGGAAATACAGAACAATTGGTGGGGCACAGACAGGAGGCATTGATGTTCCTAGGCATTGCTGGCATTTTAGGAGAAGACAAGCTGTCATTATTTCCTGCCTTTCTGGGCTTTATCTTGTTACTTTCATCTGAAGATTTAAAAGGTTGGGTTTCTGTCTTCCTGACTAAGCTTTAGAGGACCATATGTGGAGTGGACAGTATATGGGTAGGGTCACAACTTTTTCTTATGAAAATGAGCTTTTCCCCCTATTGCCTAGCAAGGCTCATAGCAAACAAGTTATAAACAAATCTGAAGGTTTTGGAATAGAAAAAAATAATTAAGAGCCTGATGTCTTTTAACTTTCAGACTTGTTTGGATCTACAAAGATGCCAAAATTAAATTGTCTTTTTGGAACGATGAGAGTTTATTTTTAACAGACTATTAAACCAAATTAGTTAAATTAACACTTTGTAGTTGATTAAATCATTATCAAAATCTCACTGATCTAATTTTTGGGGGGTGGAGAGGGGCTCCTAACTTCTGAGCCAAAAGTGAGTGAGGTATCCGCGATTGCAACTTTGGCCTATAACTTGGAAGGGGAAGCGCTTACTTCTACTTTATAGCTAGCACTGCATCTGTGCAAACATGCCATGATGCTCCCAGTTTGTCCTCAGAAAGTGCTGCTGACAATTTTGTACATATGATTACATTTTCACCTTTCCAGATGTGGGTGGAATGATGATACTTTTATATAATAAGTGTTCCTCTAGACATAGAATTTTTTTTTTTTTTTGATTAAGAAAACACGTATCTCACTTTATCAGAGTCTTAAAATCCCGGTGATATTTCTGTGACATCATTACCATTACTCCAGTTAACTACATATAGGAAACTCTTTTAGACAAGTTCAATCCAAACCTTTTTTTCCCCAAACCTTTTCAAGAACATTGATTCTCCAGGAATGCTGTTGACAACAGTAGAAAATGTACAGTTACAGGTTGCCAACATCTTTCTTGGTCCAGTGGATATTTTTCGAGTTTGCCTCTTTTATTTAGAATTTGAGGAGAGAATGGATACAATGAAAGATCCAGGAAGAACTGTAGCTTACAGTGCTTACAGGTGGCTGGAAAATAACTGGTAGCCTTTGTGATGATGCAACTGTTTGAATATTTCATTGGAAATATTCAAGCAGAAGGACTCAGACAGTTGAGAATAGACCTTGTAATACGTGTAGAACAGAAATCAACAAACTTTCTCTGTAAAGAGACACGTACTGGACATGTAGGGCTTTGTGTGCTATCCATTCTCTATTAGAATTACTCAGTTATGTAATTGTAGTGCAAAAGGAGCCATAAAAGATGGGTAAGTGACTTATTGTGGCTGTGTTCCCATAAAACTTTACTGAAATTTGAATTTCATATTTCCATGTGTCACAAAATATTGATCTTTTGATTTTTCTTTCCTGATGACTTAAAATTGTAAAAACTATTCCAAATTCCTGGATTGTACAAACACAGGAAATGGTAGGGTAGTATCAGTCCCATGGCCTACTGTGCTTTGTAGTTCACCCTTATATCAAGAAAAAGAGCTTAAAACACTGGGAGCATCATGGCATGTTTGCACAAATGTAGTGCTAGCTATAAAGTAGGAGTAAGAACTTCCCCTTCCAAGTCATGGGCCAAAGTTGGAGTCCCGCAGCCCTCACTCACCTCTGGCTCAGAGATTATGAGCCCCTCTCTTTTTCTTTGCTGCTTTGTTTGTGAGGGAAAAATTTGCTTTATCCTTGCGGCTAGGTGAGAAAAATAAAGTAGTATGAGAGACCGTGTAATAGCGCTCAGTGGAGTCAGACCGTGAGTATTCTTTAGAAATTGCTGAACATACAAAAACACCACCATCAAGTTCAGCAGGCACAGTTCCTTAAACCCAGGAAGAACCGAGTATTTAGTGAGGATATTTTCTGGGTTTAACTGCAGAGCTCTTCAAAGGTTCTCAACCCATCAGAATCCAGCAGTGTGATTTTGTGAGACATTTCTTAGAGCAGTCCCCCAGAAAGTTTTCCCTAATCAGTACGTGAAAAATAAATGGAGGGACCTATAAGGAAGTAGGTTATATTTCATTGGTTCTTTCGGAAACGGATCTCTTGCATCTGTTATTCAGAGACAAGCTTAAGTGAGGAACGTTGCTACTTAACCAACATTTTTAGGATTTAATGTTAACAAGGTAATTTGGAAATGTTGCAAAGTACAAAATATTTTCAGATTTTTGATCCAGGAATGTAGATTGGGATTCTGGCAAGCCTATCTTCTGTAGCGTGGTAAAAATGCTTCTTTCTTGCTTTGGTTTGTTTCATCTTCCAGAGCAGGTGAAAAAAGAAATTGCCTTGTAAGGGAATACTCCAACTGTGGAAATAGCTAATACTGTAAAGGATCAAGAAATTTTTCTTAAGCTAGGTAAATCAAATTTGGAAGAAAGGCAGCATCAGAAGCAGCAGCAGAATCAATTGTGAATAATAGCTCCGTATATAAAGCTGATGGACAGAATTCTATGGGATACAATTTTATCTTAATGAATTCAAGTGGCGTTCGTTTTTATGTTTTTGTTTTTGACTTTAGTTCCTTTTTTTCAGATGAGTTTTGTCTATCTGCTTGATATGAAGGAAGACAAATTTAGAAAATGTAACTTTTGCTATATTGGGCTTTTTTCCTTTTTTCTCTTCATGGCTTTTTCTTTGCTGCTTTGTTAATGAGGGAAAAACGTGAGAGACGCTCCATGCCTTCCATTTGGATAGCTTTATTTGAAACTGATAGTTAGCAATATTTAAAAATAAAATTGGCACTGTTTGAAGAGAGCAACCTTGATGCTGATACTGATGTTGGCAATTTTCAGAGTATACTGTGAATCATCAGACTTGAGTAACACTAGGAATATTTTTTTTTTGGTAGAGTGACATAGTGTCATAGCTCACAGCAACCTTAAACTCTTGAGCTCAAAGTGATTCTCTTGTGTCAGCCTCCTTGGTAGCTGGGATTACAGGTGCCCCCCATAATGCCTGGCTATTTTTAGAGATGGGGCCCTCACTCTTGCTCAGGCTGGTTTCCAACTCCTGAGCTTAGACAATCCACCTGCCTCAGCCTCCCAGAGTGCTAGGATTACAGGTGTGAGCCACCTACTAGTAAAAATTGTTGGCTCTTTATATGGTTCATTGTTTTTATTGCCCATCTGAGTTTGCTCTGAAAGGAATCAGAATATGCCACCCTGAATTATGCCACATTGGCATAAGGATTATTTTGAGCTAAAGGCAATTGAGACTCAACAGATGTAGGAAGAGTTCTACCTTTTAGGCTTTATGTGCTTAAAATAAGGCGTGGGTTGCCCTCCTTAGACTAGGGAGAGAAGAGCTATTCTTACTGAAGATAGCTATCACCAAGATGATTATGTCTAAGTAGACTCACACAATTAACAAAAATTAGTATAAACATCTAATTGGACTTTTTCTAGAATTAAAGTTAGTGGTAATTTTCCTTAGAGTGATAACACAGAGGGGATTTATGGTAGCCCAGATACCCATCTTGATTGGTTGCAGTGAATCTCCTGTTTTTTAGAAAGTGACACATTTTAAAGATAGATTACATGAGGTACAGCGGTGCACCTAAAGTCCCAGCTATACAGGAGGCTGAGGTGAGAAGATCCCTTAAGTTCAGGCTGCAGTATGCTGTGAATATCCATTGGACTCCACCCTGGGCAATCTAGAGATCCCTTTGGTAAAAGATTACATGGTACTTCACTTCAGAAAATCCATTCTGGTATTTCAAAGAGTGGTCTCCCATAAACATTGTTTAACATTAAAACTATTTTTTCCCTTTATTCAGAAGGTAAATAAGCCCCTGAGGCTAATTGTAATTCTAACCAACCTGTTTTTTGTGAACCCCAGTGTACGTTAATAATAAAAGTTATGTACTCCTCCCCTAAAAAAATTTGTTGGTAAATTTGTAAATTTGTGTTGTTTAATATTCCAAACCAGATTGAAATTACCTTGATGAATCTTAATAAATACACTTTTAATCTTTTAGATGCTTTTAAAAGTACTTTGAAATGTAAGTAAAAATTTCAGAATTCTCTTTTATTTCTTTTATTTTTGGGGAAAATAAGTGATATAGCTTCTCTGTGAAATTTACATCTCTTACTAGCTAATGGCTGGAGTGAAATTATGGCAGCGTGGAATCTTTCCATTTGAAAACCAGAATAAGAACACATAGTGCTTTGCTTTCGACTGGAGCTGATGAGTTCTCTCATGTCTTTCTCTTTTTTCAGTGAAACCAGCAGTGTGTGTAGCAGCAGTGATGCTGGGCTCTTTACCAATGATGAAGGACGACAAGGTAGTCTGGATTCCAATTTTGGGATACTAAGGTTTGGGTTTATGGGTAGATACTAATGATGACAGGTGTGACTCTCTGAGAAGATGATGGTTGTTTGAGGCAGTGGTTCTCAAACTTCAGGGCATGTAAGAGTCACTTTTGGGGAACTGTTAAAACTACAAATTCCTGAGCCTCTAGAAATCAAATGTCTATAGTTGGACCCTGGGACATGTATAGTGATTCTTAGGCAGGTATTTGAAACATTGAAAATCACTAGTTCAGGGAGTTAGAGTATTGAGCCTGAGACTTCGAGAAGTTCCTTTTTTTTAGAACCAAGAAATATATCTGGGTATTACTTTGTTTTTTGGGATTCTTATTTTCCCATTTAGAATTTAATTCTCATAAGTGATTATAGTGTTCTAGGGGAATATATTATATAAGACTTCATTCAAAGTTAAAACTTCTGCAGTTTACCATAGAACTCTATGAATAAGGTTGGTGTATGTTAATTATTAGTTCTTTATTTTTACTACCTAAACACTAAACTGAGATGCTATCATTGTAGGTACTAGAAGTTTGAACCAAGAATCTGAATATGTGGGTCTTGCTGTGACTTTGCCATTAATGAACAATATGGCCTTGAACAAATGGTGTAATTTCTTGAAAAGGCTTAGAGAATTATATTATCTGTTTCTGTGGTTAGTTTTTTCCTGGCAGCTTGGATTGCTAGTGTTAAGATGATTTCTGTCCCATTAATGAGATACCAAAGAAGAAATGAAGTACAGGCATACATTCTTCATTTACCTATTATGAGAAATGCAGATATAGCAAAAAAAATCACTCAGGAACAGCTAGTTTTGAATTGAGAAATATTTATGGGCTTTGAGCCCCCAGATTTATTTTTACCACTGAGGATGGCCTAGGGGAGGAAGTTTATTTTTGTAATAAAGATCTCAGTCTTGGAGTTACTCAGGCTTTGGGTTCAAATCCTGGCTTCATCATTTACTAAATTGAACTCGCCTTCTCTGGGCTTTAGTTGCCTTATTTGTAAGCTGTAGTTAGTGTAGGGCTTACAAGAGGTCACATGTTTGTGGATTTTTGGCATGAATCCTGGTAGGTTGTAAGAGCTTAGTAAGTGGTAACTTTTTTAGTTTTCACTGTTAAAGCAGTCCAGTCTGACACAGTATAACATTTATGTAAAACTAAGTTGATGTCTCAGTTTTCATTATAATATGGATTAAAAAGAAGGACCACCAGAACAATTTTTTTGAACTTTGATTTATTTAAAGGTATAATCAAAACTATAGCACTAGGAATCATCCTCCCATTTGACTTTTCTTAGGTGTGTTAAAGTTGCAGCTTATGATGTGGTCTCTTTACTTTAGGAGACGATGAGCAGAGTGATTGGTTCTATGAAGGAGAATGTGTCCCAGGATTCACTGTCCCAAACCTCCTGCCCAAGTGGGCTCCTGATCATTGTTCTGAGGTAGAAAGAATGGATTCCGGGCTGGATAAACTCTCAGATTCCACATTCCTTTTACCATCTCGGCCAGCTCAAAGAGGTGAGTTCTGAGGTGATCAAGCACTTTGTGCTTTTGTGGTACTCTTTAGGCAGAAGAATCATCCCATAGCAAACATGCCTCTATGTGTATTAACCATCTGAATTTTGGAGCTAGTCCAGCGATTTTCTGTAAGATGAAAGGATGATTCTTAAGGCTTGAGGTTCTCTCCATTTCTACCTAAATCAGTCTATGGAGACTCTGGGGACACATATTAGTAGGGCATTCCTTCAGCTTGCCATTCTGATTTGTGCTAGATTTGGGAAGCCTAGCATCATGTCATAGCTGTTTATCCTGATGTGAAACTGATAGATTATTGAGTGCTCAATGGAAGCCTGAAGTATTGGATCTTATAAAAGAACAGATTTCCATAATAACATTCATAGATGAGGTATAATGGCATTTTAAAAATGGATGATTTAAAAATAATTTCTTTAAATAATTTTATTTTAATGACCATATTATTACAGACAAATATATGAGTCAGACAATTAAGTTCACAAACTCCTCCTAGAGAAAGTGCCGCATACTTCATTGCTGAATATCACTACCATCAGTCACTTTTGAGGTACTGTCCTTGGAAGCTATGCGCTGACGTCAGTGCCTAGTTCCACCCTTCAAAGCAGTTTTGGAACTCTTTTTCTGGAATGGCCGTCAGCGCTGTTGTTATACAAGCTCTGATAGTTAAGTTTGCAAAGCCATCCTGGAAAAAGTGCTGCATACTTCATTGCCGACTATCACTGTGGTCACCAGCTGGCCCAGGAGAGTGCTTAGAAGGTGACCGTAGTGATAGTCAGCAATGAGGTGTGTAGCAGTTTTTCTCAGATAAGTTTGAGAACTTAATTGTCAGATCTCATATGTCCTTTCCCTTTGCTTTTCCTTTAATTATGATGTAGCAAAGTGAGTCGAAAGAGCCTGGAACAGGGAGAAGGAAATAGAGTATAATCCTCTCTGGTACTGACTACCCAGCTCTGTGGCTGAGACAAAGCACTTAATTTCCCTGGATGACAGGATCATCACTTGTTACATAGCATTGAACAAAACTGCTTCAGAGGTTTCTCTTAGCTCTATAACTACTAGGATTCCCAGTAACCAATGATCAAGTGATTAATCAGTTATCAAGTGTTTGCTGAGCTTCTCTTGGTAATCAGAATTATACTAAGAGCTGAAATGCTTATTATGGACCTCTTATTACGGAGGATTTGTTATGATGAATTTGAGTAGTTGAAAGACTTCAGAGTATTTGGTTCTCCGTAAAGACCACTGCCAAGCTGGGGTACATTGTTTCCTTGTAATGTTTCTAACAGTTTCTTATGGACTGCTTAACTTAACACAAATAGGCCAGAATAGCAAGAGGAAACTTCAAGTGGCCTGTAATCCTACATCCAGAGACATCATGGTTAATAGTTTGGTGTGGGTTCCTCCACTTGTTCTTCGTTTATACAGAACACATATAGCAGTTAGAAAAGTGGGGTTATATTATGTATGCTGTTTTCCTCATTATTTCATAAGTGTGTTTTGGAGATAGTAACTAGCGTGTAATTTAAAATTAGAAATTGTTAATACTGCCTTACATTTATGTGGTAGTTCATTGGGTCTTCACATGTATTTCACTGGGTTTTCAAAACCACCCCGTAAGGTAGGACCGAGTGAGTGGCTATTCCTCTTTTATAGCTGAGAATATGTGGGTCAATGGTTAATGGCATGCCTAAGATCATGCTGTTAGTGGCAAAGACATGGGAATAATAAATCTTTGACACATGGCCTTGTGCTACTAGTTTATAGGTCATAAGATCCTGGGAGTAAGGTATTCAGTGTACTAGAAACACAGGATGGCTTGTGGATTTTCTGTGTTCAGTAACTGAGGCTTTTTTCTTTCTTAGGGTACCATGCTCGCTTGAATCGTCTGCCTGGAGCTGCAGCTCGATGCCTCAGAAAGGGGCGAAGAAGGCTGGTTGGAAAGGTGATAGCTCTCATGGTTTACTAGACTCGGTGGGAAGATGATATTCCCTGTGGGCTTTATTTTTGCTATTAACAATGAAAGGTGCTGCAGAACTCCCTGGAGTTAAAGAAGCCAACTGGGATATTTTGGGAGTTCACAAGAGTGAACGTGATGTAGAATATGAATGGATGCACACATAAAAGATGAAACTTAATTCAGAAGTTCTGACAAAGCAAACACTTTATAACAGTATCTATAAACCTACAGGCGTGATCTCTTGTCTTCTCTGCAACTTATGATTAATTCTATTGTGTATGTTAAAATATTCTTGGCTTCTTTATGACTCTTCTGAATTCATGATTGCATCTTTGTTCTAACTTTGGGCTTTCATCCTAGAATCCATTAAAAAAAAAATCCAAAATTGGAAAAAAGGAAAACAACAACTCTGTTAATGCATTTCAGCAGCCCCTCTTTGGCCATGTAGGAGGACTGTCTACTGTTTTTTCATTCTGACCTTTGCCAGAGACTGTGCTAGGCACTCAGCTCACTTAATCCTTCTCAAAACCTTGTAAAAAAGTTATGTTTCCATGTAGCAGATGAGGAAAACTAGGTTCAAAGAATTAAGTAATGTCTAATATTACCCAGATTAGAGTTGCAGAATAGAGATTTGAACCCAAGTCTACTTTTATCTTTAAAATTTTTTGTTTATGATTTTTATTTTTTACTCTAGCTTTGAGATTAAGAAATAGGGATGAAGGGCTCATACCCAATCAGAGAAGAGAGTTGTAGGCAAAGAGTTAGGAAGAGAGAGACATTGAGAGCATTAACTCAGTATAAGCTTTTAGAGTGCCTACTATGTGCAGGCTCTGTGCCTAGCCATGTATGTAGTGGTCAGAGCCATAGTCTGGCTACCCTCAAGGGGCTGTTGTTTTATAGTCTAATCAGGGAACTGTTTTTTAAAGTTGTAGGCATGAAAAAGAAAAGAGGCTGTTTATTTCCAGATGAATTCAAATTCTTAGTTCTTTTAAAATTCAAACTGAAGTCTCTAATTAGAAAGACATTTGATTATTGGAAGACTGTACCTTGCTCCTTTAGATCACTCATTTTACAGGAAGTAGAATGCTTGCTCTTGCTGTTCTGGGGCCCTGTTTTTAACAGAAGAGCTAGTAGGATGGAAGTACACTCGTAGAGGGAAGCAGGAGGTTGGGAGTGGGGAACAGAGAAATGGCTTTATTTTTTTTCTCTTTATTGGTTAGGCTTGACAGATAATGTTCTCCCTACGACCTGCCTTACATTCTTTCAGCTCTTATAATAAAATAAGAGCCGTCTACTTCTGTAGAAGTCAGTTCATCTTGAAGGCTCCCTTAGTTTGCCTGGAAGGGAACTAGAGCCTATTGGATGTGCAGCTAATGATTTCAAATGAATAGGATAATATTTACTTGTTTAATTCATCTTCATCACCTTAAAGGGATATTTATCATTTCTAGCAGAGGTCAGTGCTCTGCCCCCCAGCTTCTCCCTCCCCCGTCTCTCTTCTCTTTTTCTAAATTGTAATCATAAATAATGAGTTTCATTCACAGCTCCCTGCCAGCGAGCTGCTAATTACGCAAAGTACTGCTTGTAATTTACACAGTAATAAACTGTAAATTTAAACATTACGGCACTTTAAGTTAATAATTTTTCTGCTGTAACAAATAGCTCATTTTTCACCCATCCTTTCCCTCAGCCCCCCTAGCATGTCTGTGTCTGTGACCAGGAGGCATAGCCGGAAGGGAGGCAGAATGTGAAGAATACGACATGTGAAACCTTTTCATTTAGCTCCATTCCAGAAGCTGACCTCAAATTAATTTTTCTATAGCCAGTTGTTCTGCTAAACCGTGTAGCCTAATGTCTAGGCTAATCCACACACATAGATGAGTGCAAGTAGTAGCGTTTGTCTGGACGCAAATGTGTTTGAGGAGGAGCCTTGACATTTTTGAGATTCACGCGCAGGACTTGTGTTCTCTCATTTTAACACTGTAGAACACTTGTCCATGCACATGTCGGTGTGCCTTCCCAGTGCCAGGCTAGACAGGCGTGTATACGTCCCGTGTTAGAGGATGGGTGAGTGCCTTCTGCTATTTCCCAATTTTTGGGAGATGGTTAGTTTCTGAATTGCTTGTGGTGTTATGGGTAAGCTTTCAGATTATAATCTAAAAACCTTCAGTTTAAGAATCCATTTGTATAAACTTCTATTTTTATTTCAAGATATGATGGGACAAAATACAGGGTGACGATTTTTGAAGTCACAAAAGTCCTTTGACTTGTACATATTTAGTCAGCAGATACTTAAGTTTTACGAATGTGGACCTGAGAAGTGTCCCAGGATGAATGCTCTTGGGACTCAAATCACATAACTGGAGGGAGCTTGTTGTGCTGGCTTCTTAAAAATTGGCCACTATTGGATTTTTTTAAAAGTATTTTTACTCCTATGTTCTTCAGTAACTCCAGAAGTTATTTTTCATTACATTAAAATACCACGTATAGCAAATATCATTTTTAATAGATTTTTTTGACTGCTAGAGAAAAATAAGTGTAGGATAATATGAAATACTCTCCAGATAGATTCATGTAAAAAGAAATTATAGTTGCCGTTGGATTTTAAGATTGACATTTGGCATGTGCCTTTGAGGTTGCCTTGGCTGGCACAGTTGTGGGAAAGTGTGAGCTTGATCACAGAATGCACTTTATAGACTTGTTTCTGCAGGTGGCTGATATACCCTTGTCTTCCTTGTGTTTTTAGGAGACCACCATGAGTACTTTAGGTACTGAGAGGATAAGCCATATCATTAACGACCCTCGGCAAAAAGAGTAAGTGCTTATGTATTTACTGGCTGTCCCAGCTTGTTTCTTGGAGAGGGAGGCAGAGGAGAGTTTTACAAAGCAACCTAGAAATCAGGCTTAGAGCTGGAAGAGGAGATCTTTTTTTTTTTTTTTTTTTTTTTTTTTAAGACAGAGCCTCAAGCTCTCACCCTGGGTAGACTGCTGTGGCATCACAGCTCACAGCAACCTCCAACTCCTGGCTTAAGTGATTCTCTTGTCTCAGCCTCCCATGTAGCTGGGACTCCGCCACAATGCCTGGCTATTTTTTGGTTGTATTTGTCATTGTTGTTTTTCACAGGCCTGGGCTGGATTTGAACCTGCCAGCCCTGGTGTATGTGGCTGGCATCTTGGCCACTGAGCTACAGGTGCTGAGCCTGAAAAAGGGGATCTTAAAGAATTGGGCTTTGTAACAGTTAATCTGGCTAACATCCTAACCCGTGACAGTGATTTTCTTTTTCTTTTAAGAGTAAATTTTATTTTTTTGTTTTTTATCTATAGGTGCTGTATTAGTAAGCTCCAATAAGGGTGTTGTATTTTTTTTTTTTTTGAGACAGAGCCTCAAGCTGTCCCCCTGGGTAGAGTGCCTTGGCATCACAGCTCACAGCAACCTCCAACTCCTGGGCTCAAGTGAGTCTCCTGCCTCAGCCTCCCAAGTAGCTGGGACCACAGACACCCACCACAATGCCCAGCTATTTTTTTGGTTGCAGCTGTCATTGTTGTTTGGTGGGCCCGGGCTGGATTTGAACCCGCCATCTTAGGTGTATGTGGCTGGCGCCTTAGCCACTTGAGCCACAGGCACTGAGCCAGGGTGTTGTTATTTTAAATTCATTTTGCTGTATCTCTTTTTTTTGTTGTTCAAAGTGGGTGATTATGTCTATTTTCTTTTTTCTTCTTCTTCTTCTTTTTTTTTTTTTTTTTGAGACAGAGTCTCCCTTTGTAGCCCTGGGTAGAGTGCTGTGGTGTCATAGCTCACAGCAACCTCAAACTCCTGGGCTCAAGTGATCCACAACACCTGGCTATATATTTACAGTTGAGGTCTTGCTCTGGCTTGGGCTGGTCTCAGGCAGTCCACTCCCTCAGCCTCCCAGAGTGCTGGGATTACAGGTGTGAGCCACTGTGCCTGGCTTTCCTCTTTTCCTATGTTTTCTTGTAATTTTTAGACCTCTTTATAGAAAAATACCTTTTTGTCCTGGTTACTATGGTAATGGGATGGAAAGGCTGCATATAGCTATAGGAGAATCATTCTGCCCTTTCCTGTGGCAGCCTCGTCTGCTAACATGGTTGGTCTTTCCCTTACCCTGTACACATGATGTTCAGTACCTACTTACATTCTATACACATTCTGCCTGCTCTAATTTTTAATTTACAAGGTAGGTGAGATGTGCATGTGGCTATTGCCTTTATTGCCCTGTTGTCACTGCACAGCCAGAGGTGCATGGATGTCACACTGATTTATTTGGGCTTTTTTCCGGCCTGTGCAGTCTTACATTCCATTATGGGTTTTCCCTTTCAAGAGTTATTTTGAGCATGGTAGGTCACATTTAGTATCTTTCTCCTTTTCTTCTCCAGTCACATCTTTTTCCCGTTTCCTTTTTGTCTTCACGTCATTAGTCTGGTATCTTTTTATCTTCCTCTTTCCTCTATAATTTTCCTACCACTTCTTTTATTGTTTTCTTTCCTGTTATTCTCTCCCTCTCTTTAGTTTCTGGTTACCATCAGCTGGGAAAAGAGAACGAAATCAGGTAAGATCACTTTCCTTTGTCATCTTTATTTTATCATTTGATTTCCTTTTCTTTAGAAAGAATAAAGCGTTGGCTTCTGATTTTCCTCACATTTCTGCCTGTGCACATGAGGTAAGTTTCCCTCACCAGTGTTATTCTGATTTCCTTAAGGACTATTCTCCAAGAATACTATGTATCCGATACTCATTCCCTTTTTAGGTTCTACTGTGATCATCAATTTCTTGTAACACATATTCACAGGAATTACTGATTTTTTTCTTTTTATAGTTTTGAACTTGTCTATAGGAAAGCAGAATGAAGCTCTTTATAGTTTCATTCAACATCGGAATTCTGTGTTGAGAAATACTATGTTGAAGCCTAAACATACAAGCAAAGGAGGGTGGAGCTGCTTTCAGTGACTTGGCCTTTGAGCCTTGCCCTTAGTCTTTTCCCAGCTACCCCCTTATGGGGCCCTAAGCATAGTTAGGCCTTTGTGTAGGGGTCACAATTTAAAAATTATTACAATGGCTATTGATGTGTTTCTTTATGTTTGAAGCTTTTGAATTTTTTTGGAGAGTTATTCTATTTGGGTGATGAGCTATAAAGTAGATGAAGACTAATAGGTAGAAATTACAAAAATACTATTTTGTAAATTAAAAATTAAACCCAAACTCGTTACTCAGTGTTTTGTTTTTTGACTATTTGTTAGCTTTTTGAGTTGATACACATTTTCGACTTGAAACCTGCCTTGTGAATTTGTTGTTTCAAAATGAACTAGAGCAGAAGAAGACATAACTTGTATATATGTATGAGATGAATCTAGGCGGCATGAAGACAATTTTTTTTAAGTTGTGCATTATAATGTATGTTAAAAAAATGTAATCATTACATTAAACTTGTTATTTCATGGAAACAGTAAGGACAGGCTGAGTAAATATAATTGATATCAAGAAAAATGCTAAGTAAACGGTAGTGCAGGTGATAAGGAAAGAGTCACGAAGGTGATATGGCAGTTTGGGGGACTCTAAGCTAGGACACTAATAATGTTTGTATCACAGGATCTAAAAGCAGAAGGGGACATGTGGTGATCACCTGGTCCAGATCTGTTACTTACAAATGATGAACTAGAAGTCCATAAGATTCACATTGTTTACCTAAAACCCTACAGCAGGTAGAACTGAGACTGGAACCTGTATACATAGTTGATTAATTTGCATTCCTTTGAAGTACTTTTGAAGTTACCAAAGTTCTACCAGTCTTTATATTCTAGTCTTTGTATATCAGAATGTATTATGTTCTAAGCTTTTGGAAGAGGACTATTTACTGTGGAAAAAAGTCCAAAACAAGCCAGCAAACCTTAAGTGAGATGCTTTTATATATAGCATTTTGCTTGATCTTTACAACTAGCCTTTGAAGTACATAGATGTATTACAGATGAAGAACTGAAATTAATTTATAACCTGAAATCAATATATCGTTCAGCCCTCACATTAACCCTGTAAAATAGGTAGGATACATAGTGATATGTCCATCTTACACATGAGGATAGTAAAGCTAAGAGATTATGAAATTTTTAACACAGGGCAACTCACTGGTAGATTAAGACTAAAAATTTAGATATTCTAAATCTTAATGTAATTTGTCTTAGACTTAGGCTAATTAGAATTAGTTTTCTAATTCTCTTTCCACTATTTTATGCTGCTGGTATGTGCTAACCCATTGTTGGAAACACTCACGAGGAAAGGAAATGGATAGGTAACTTCATGCTAACCTTGGGGACAAGGCCTAATCCACAGTTGATAATCAATAGGTGTTAAGTTCCTGTTGTATCACTTGGAAAGTACTGTCTTCTGCCATTTAAGTGATTATTTTGTATTGGAAGTTTTTGAAAAATTGTTCTTTAATAAGGAATCATCTCTTTGTAGTTTTCTTGGTCAGGTGTGGCACGTTCATGGGCACACTATAGCGAATTTTTCATGTGCAACTTTATCAAATAGTGTCTGTGTTTGATATAGCCAGAGAGTTGGACAGTCAAAGGGAAAAAGTAATCAAGTAGTAGGTTACACTTTAGGATAGGTCCATTTTGTACAAGCCTTACTAACATAATCTTATTTATTCCTGCAGTTTAATCCCCTGTCTCCCCTCTACTCCCTGGACGTTCTTACTGACGCTTCTCACCGGAGATGCTCACCAGCACACTGTTCTGCCAGGTAATTACTTTCTATGGCTATTACAGACAATGCCATATTCCTTTTTATAACACTTCAAATTGCAAAATATTCTTGTGCGTAGTATCCAGTTTGATCCTTATAACAATCTTTTGAGATAAATAGACATTTTACAGATGCAGAAACTGAGGCAGAGTGGAGAAGTATCTTCCCTGTGATCATATGGCTTGTATGTGATTGAATCTCAACTTTGACCTAAGTCTTATGGCTCATATTCACATTATTTCTGCTCCTAAAAGCCCTGTCTTCAAAGAACATTTTCTTTCTTTCTTTTTTTTTTTTTTTTTGCGACACAGTCTCAAGCTGTCACCTGGGTAGAGTGCTATGGCATCACAGCTCACAGCAACCTCCAACTCTTGGGCTTCAGCGATTCTCTTGCCTCAGCCTCCCACGTAGCTGGGACTATAGGCACTTGCCACAACACCTGGCTATTTTTTTTGTTGCAGTTGTCATTGTTGTTTTTTTGGCTGACCAGGGCTGGGTTCAAACTAGTGTATATGGCCGGCACCCTGCCTTCTGAGCTGCAGGCGCTGCCCCAAAGAACATTGTTAATCTTTCTTGCCAGACCTGCAAAACCTTGCATAAACTCACTTCCTCCATGTCCAGTCTCTGTTCATATCATTTACCCCTCTCCGAGGGAGAGATCCAGCTGTACAAGGGAGTTCCTTTTTGTTCTTCAAAAATAACATCTTTTCTGCGTGGGACCTTTGCACTTGCTTTTTTGCCTGGAAAACCGTCTTTGGGCTGCTGCTTTTCTCAACTCAGGGGCCACCTCCTTAGAGAGGACCAGGCAGCCCATCCTGTCTGAGGGGCAGCCTCCAGCACTTTATGCTCATTATCTATTTCCTTTATGGCTCTTGCACAGTCTTATTAGTGTATTTTGGTGGCTTGTCAGATGTGTTTTTTCCTCCACTTTCCCCTGGCCTCTCTCACTAGAATATAAGCATCAAAGTGCAAGAACCTCGTCTTGTTTCCTGACCACCTAACACAGTGTCTGGCACTTGCTAGGTATTCAGTATATATTTGTTAAATGAATGACTCCTATGTCTCTCAGTATAAATTCCCTTTTAAGTTAGCTGACACGCAGAGTAAATACAGTTTCAATGGGAGTGTCCCATAGCAGGGACTTTATCACAAAAGAACAGGTCTTACGCAAGACCAAAAACTTTTTATTATTTCTAATCCAAGAAAAGACTCTCTGGCTCGGCGCCTGTGGCTCAAGTGGCTAAGGCGCCAGCCACATACACCTAAGGTGGCAGGTTCGAATCCCCAGCCCAGGCCCACCAAACAACAATGATGGCTGCAACCAAAAAATGGCCAGGCGTTGTGGCAGGCGCCTGTAGTCCCAGCTACTTGGGAGGCGGAGGCAGGAGACTCGCTTGAGCCCAGGAGTTGGAGGTTGCTATGAGCTGTGATGCCATGGCACTCTACCCAGGGGGATAGCTTGAGGTTCCGTCTCAAAAAAAAAAGAAAAGACTCTCTCTCCAAGTTTCTGAGGATTTCTTTTTCTTCCTCATAAATTTTTAAAGGCATATGTTCATAGATGTTGAGGTATGGGCTATACAAAGAAGTTACTCCTTCATGGGTACAATTAGAACTTCTACTATGGACCATAATAATAAAACTTAGCACCATAACCTACGGCCAGATCTTTCTACCATAAAAGAGGTAATTCCATGGGGAAAGTCTTTTGAATAGCGAGACCATCACAAATGGTATTATTAAGAATGTGAAAAATTAGGGAATGATAAAATTACCACAGCAAAGCCTTTTCTTCAGTAGCTTGCGCATTCCTCATTCATTCATCTAACCTTGCTGACTGCTTATTCTGTGCCAGGCTCTTTGTTTAGGTCCTGCCCTCGAGGAACTTACATTCTCCTGAGTGTAGAAATTGACAGTTACAGTAAGTGTTTGTCTGTGAATGGTGTGAAGCATGTGGGAGGGGCTCCCGACTTAGAGGCTCAGGGAGCTTTTCTGAGAGGTGGTTTTCATCTGTAGGAAAACAGTTCTCCAGCTTTGTATCTTTCCCCCCCTTTTTTGCCTTTACAAAAGACATCTTAGAATTTTTTTATCTTAATACCAAATGAAGTAATGGCCACATCTACTCTTAGGGAAGACTGCTGAGTAGCCCCTTCTCATGCCAGCTGCTGGTACGCCCTTTACCTCTGCTACCCAGAGCTGTGCTGTGCTGAGGTTGGTGTCTGTGCTTCCATTAGGTTTTCTGTTACCTTTAAAAGCTTCATCCTGTGGCAGGACTGGGCATCAGCTTCTTATTTGTTGTGTCCACATCATTATCTTCTCTCTCTTGCCTGACAGTGTTTGTGGCTGGACTTGGAAACATAAGGAGGTCTGCACTGTGTTTCTGGTGCATTCACCTCTAGGGAAGTATTGCTTGTTGTTTTAGGTCATTGCTAAGAGCAAAGGAGGGAGAAAGTGGACAATTATATGTCGTCTTTGTTTTTATGTTCAGACATCATTCTCAGGGCAGTAGATACCAGGTAGGATGCACATATGAAGGTTCCTTGGGGTGGGTAGGAGAAGAAAACGTTTAAACTTACATTCATTTATTATCTTATGTTTGAATTTTTTTGTTTTAAATTGTACATATATTAGTCTAATAGCACAAATTTATATTTTATGTACATGAATTAAATATTAATATAAAATGTTTCCTTGAGTTTTTTGCTCACAAGGGTGCACAATCAATAAAGTTTGTCAACATCTGCTCTGTGGGAAATGACCAGTGCCAGGGACCTCTGTGGCAGTGTTGGAAAACGTGAATGATGGAACACTGAGTTCTCAGGGCCACCCCTCACTCCTCTGCCCAGCAAGGTGTCAGTGCTGAGACTGTCTACTCCAGTGTGGTGACCTGATGAGATTGGAGTCTTTTGCAGCAGGCCTTGCTGAGACTGCGCTGCTGAGCAACAGCCTGGCCCAAGGAAGGAATGTCAAGGAGTAGCGGGTGTAGGGAAGAGGCAGGTGAACGACTGAACTGAAAAACGTTTCGAATGGAAATTTTATCTTTTTCTTATCCCATTTTATTTGTAGTAGGCAAAGATTTCTTTCAAAGCATCTGAGCAGCATTGGAAATTTCACACCCATCATTAGAACGATTTGTGTGTGTGTGGTGACTATGTTATCATTAGTGGTATAATTTTATTTTGCAAAGAGAGAAGCGTTTCCTGTTTTATCACAGCTTTCCCTGAGGAGGGCTGGTGTATTAATTTGCTGTATTGCCTCCTGGCTGTTCCCAGGCTGTTTTTCCTCTTCATCATGGAATTTTTAATGGCCCTGCTGCCTCTTGGGAAGCATGTGAGGAAGAGTTCCTCGGGGAGTGCTTCCCTTTTTTCACATGCCTATAATTACTCTCCTTTAAGAGCACAAAGAGTTTGATAATCATGCCTGAACTGTGAAGATTCCCTCCTGTCAGGTTACTGAGCAGAGGCAGCTTCTTGCCTGGACATTGCTGATTCTCCTCTCCCAAGCACTCAGCTCCTGCGTGAGAGCGAGAGCTTTTCAACCACTTCCTTGCTGTTGGAGTTGTGTACAGCTCTGCTTTTCAGGATAGGCCTGGGGGCCCTGAGGAGTGATGAGTGACCTCCAGGTACTCATTGCTATAAACAAATAAATAATGGGACCATAGTTTTAAAATAACATTTATTGATGTATAGTTTTAATACAACCCAGACGGCGGGTGCCATGGATGAGAGGGAGAGTTTTGTGGTCTTTGTACCATTTAATAGACCTGTGGATTTCAGAAATACCACTCTAGAAATACTCACTTTGCTGGTTTTCAATCCTGGCTGCACTTTGGAATCACCTGAGAAGCTTTAAAAAATAGATCTGGCCTGGGCATTGGCATTATTTTAAAGTTCCCCAAGTGATTAATGTGCAGCCAGGGTTAGGAACTATTGCCCTGAATGTGGATGGTTTTATGACTGGTGCTTTGTTATTTGCTTAATAGGGACGGCCGTTTCCTAAGCCTGACAGCTGTGTGTCAAAATTGTATGCACCCTCCCTTATGGACCTCTGGACTTTAGAGAGCCTGCTGTAGGCGAAGAAGTGTGTTAGTATCTAGCACACTGCCCATCACATAGTTATTAATAAATGGTTTTGTTGGGTGGAGATATTGGTAGTTGGGTAGATATGGGTGTGTGAATGAAGTCATAAACTGTTTTGGTTGCTAGTATTGGGGTTTGCTGTTAAATAATAATACTTGGTATTGGTGTTAGGAATTGCTGCTGCTGGGCAGCGCCTGTGGTTCAGAGGAGTAGGGTGCTGGCCCCATATGCCGGAGGTGGTGGGTTCAAACCCAGCCCTGGCCAAAAACTGCAAAAAAAAAAAAAAAGAATTGCTGCTGCTGAAACAGCGGATAGTGTGACTGGCATTGTGGTAGAGGCAGTGATAGTGTTGTCAAGGGCACAGCCACAAATTTATAAAAGGAGACTAGTGCTACAGCCAGCTTTCCCCCAAATGAGCGATTTTTTTCCTTATAAGGGTAAGGTTTTTTCTGCCATCATTACCCATAGGAAGTGATGACTAGAACTTACCAACTGCAACACACAGGTCAGTTGTACCTGTGTCATGCACAAGTCACCAGTTGTGAGCATTTCTTGGCAGTTTGGGGTTTTCTCTAACTCAAAGGAGAGGTCATCTTTTCGCAACCTTTCTTCTATTGTGAGTAATAATTTGGTAATACATTACCGTTTCCATTTCCTCTTAAAGTTCTGAAATAAAAAAAACAATGTTTGATATCTTCTTTTCATGGAAGTCAGTTTCCTTTGTAAACAAACTGTATTTTCTTTGAAAAAACTTATTTTCAGTTCTAGTAAGGACGGCACATACAGCCTGGCATATAGATATTATACATGTTCCTTAACCAATGAATGAAAGTCTCACAGCTCCAACCATTTTTTTCATAGTCCATTGGCCTAAGCTGTATGAGATTTAGAATGTGGATATTAGTGTGAGGTAGACCTGGG